CAGATCTTTAATAGTACTATGTAAAGAATTATTACTAAGAAAGCAGATAACTGAATAGGACCAAAGTGTTTGGCAAGGCTAGTGTTTAGATCCGTGGATATCCGACTATTTTTTGCTTAATCCACTAGATTTTTAAATCTGGTCATAAACTATCTGATAAAATCTGTTAAAATCTGTTGAATTTATTGAAATAAATTTTATTGATAAAAATAAAAAAAATAAAAAACAATTTATAGAGCAAATAAATTAATAAATTCTGAGATTATTAATTATGCTATATATAGTGTATTATACATTATATGTTTGTTAGTCTTGAAGAAACATTGTGCCAACATAATTTATGTTTCTTTTAAGAAACAGCATTCGTTCAAATAAATCAGGATTTAAACGGCTATGTTTTGTAGTTAGAAGATTTCTAGTATCACTAAAGAGACACTTACTGGATGTGAAAGTAGCTGGAACACATAAATATTTATATACTATTATGCTTAGTATTGGAAGGTTATTTTGTTGACTGCTTCACCATTTTAATGAGCATTGTTTACTTGAAATTTTTGGAAGGGCGAGATAAATTTGAATTTCTTTATTAGTTTCAGAATCTTGAACAGGAGATGTATATATGATAGCTAATAATACATTTTTTTCCTTGTTATTATCTGTTTGGGTTAAATCAAGTAGTGGTAATACCAATTGTTTAAAAAGTTCATATTCAGCTATCAAGTAAGCCTTCACTTCAAGCCTTTGACTATCCATAGCAAACTCTATTTTTTTATTTCTGGAGTTAAGGATTGTTGCAAGCAGAGATTCATGAGTTAGATAATTCCAGTAATAATTCAAGGCATTAAATAATGGCAATTTAACTTCATTTACTATTCCTTCATTTTTGGGAAGTGTTAATTTTAATTTGATTTATTTTTTTCTCAGTTTTGACATCTAATATTTCTGGTTCATCAGCAAATTCGATCTCTTCTTCCAGATCCAAATTATCACTAAATGCAGAATTTGAATCATTAAAATCTACTATAACTAGATCCATATTATTATTAATATTAACGTTAAGTAATTTTTTTAATGAAGAAATTGCTATAAACATATATGATAGTGTAATATATTTGCTTCCACCAAGCATTTTTGTAGCATACTCAAAGGTTGCAAAATTTTAACCAAGTCATCAATTAACTGCCATTTGTTTGGTGTTAACATAATTCTTTTGAGACGTTGTGCATCTTTTTTAGTTGCAGAATCATTATTATGGCTTATTGTAATATACATTATTTCAATAGCAGGTTTCAATTTAAGGATTCGAATCCATGCTAAATAAGTCGAATTCTATCTTGTTGGAACATTGGCTATTACCTTTAAATATTCATGATTGTTACTAATATTGTTACATATCTTATAATTTAATGATGCTTGTGCTATTTCCAGCTGTTCACTTTGTTTGGGTGATATGAAAAATTGTATAAGCCATTTTGCTTATATGACTAATACTTTAACTAGTAATAAGCTTTTACCACCACAAGTTGCAAAGTATGTACACTGTATGCAAGCCAATTAACACTTTCTATTTTATTAATTGTCTTTATCATATTTTTGGCATTATAGGTAGTTACCATAAAGCATTTTTCATTAATATTCCAATCTTAAATAATTGATTTCAAGATAGTAGCAATCATAGAACCAGTATATAGATATCTTAATTCACGAATTGCTAGAGTAATATCTTGCAATTCAAATTGTGAATCAATAAATGAACATGTAATACTAATGTATCCTATTCTACTATGCGCCATCTACAAATTTGTTATTAATCTACAATATTTCATCGAATTATTTATTTTATTACAAAGAGTAGCCGTTATCCAATTATAGGCTAAATAAATTTTATTTTTAATTCCTTTATTATGAGAAATTTCATAAGATAGTTCAAGTGCTATTGAATATTTTATAAATCTTGGGCTTTCTAGTAGATAAAATGGTTGTGAATCTGTAATTATAAATTTGACTAGAGCCCTATCAACTTGTTCTTTATAAGCAACATTATTTCTTGTTAATTGACGAAATTTTTCATCAAGTGTTAGTTGAAAAATGTCTAATTCAGATTTTTCAAATTTGGTAATCCCATACTTGTTTTGGAGATGATCACTAAAATTTTCTATGCTTCCATCTGTTTCAATTATATGATCACATTTAGCTTTATTTTTTTTTAGTTTTTTGTACTAGCTTTTAGATCTGTGATCAGTAGGTAATTTTGTAAAATGATCCCATATTCAACTTTTTTTTCTTGATTTTCCTTTTTTTTTGGGTTCATTAGGTTTCTCATTGTCTAATGAAAGTGTCGTAGTTGTAATATCTATCAAAGGAACCTTTAGAGTCTTCATTAAAACTTTCACTAGGTGGTATATATTCTCTACTGCTTTCTATTTCTATTAATGATAATATAAGGTTTATATGCTACACAGAGCAAGCGATACACTAGTATTTATTAGATGCAATTTTTTTACAAGACAATGAAGTAAAAGACCCATTATGTATCAATCAAATCTTTTATTTAAAATTATTTATTTTTTTTGATTATATCATGATATATCAAAATAAGCTTTAAATTAAACATATCAGTATCATCATTATTTTGAGTTAATTTCAAATTATCTAATGGATAGCAAATAAATATCTACCAGATTAAAATAGTCGGATATCTATTGAATAATCTGACGGGTTGTTTTAACAGATCCAAATACTAGACAAGATACTTCACCAACCAGAAATTGGAAGAGTAACTGGAGAAAAAAGATCCAACTGTGGAGACCAGAAGCAGGTCATAGCACTTCTGAGCTATTTGGATTAGTAGTTTAAAAATTCAGAAAGTATGAAAAATAGTTTGTAAAATGTGTACTAGGGTTTGGGTGAACTCTACAAGAGCAAAAGTAGATAATAGTAGTAGCTTTGGCTTGCAAGTACTTGTTCTCAGACTTAGTATAAGTTACTGAAATCTAGGTTAGCTGGATTGTAGATATGAAAAGCTTTAGCAGGTTTATTTTGAAGATAAAAAGCTCTCTAAATGGTTAAAGCCTGCTTTAAAATCTTAAGCTAGGTGTTTGAAAATAAGAAGTCCATACCAGATTTTTGCTCAGTTAAATATATTAATACCATAGGTGCAGAGGGTTTAAATAGATAACTCTCTAGTCAGATTGTAGATATAACATCTAGTATAGAACTTAGTAATAAGTGGACTACTTAAATAGACAATCAAAAGATGTATATATAT